GAGGGAGGGAGGGGGAGGAGGAGGGAGGAAGCAAGGAGGGAGGGAGAAGAGGGCGGCAGGGAGGAGGGCGGGAGGGAGGGAGGGCGGGAGGGAGGGAGGACGGGAGGGAGAGAGAGGAGAGGAGAGAGAGGAGAGAGAGGAGAGGAGAGGAGAGGAGAGAGGAGAGGAGAGGAGAGGAGAGGAGAGAGAGAGAGGAGAGAGAGGAGAGGAGAGGAGAGAGAGGAGAGAGGAGAGAGAGAGAGAAAGAGAGGAGAGGAGAGAGGGAGAGGAGAGGAGAGGAGAGACGAGAGGGAGATAATGTTTAAACTGAGGGATGTGGATAACTTATTAATCCATTATATATGTCATGTCCATTATGATTTTAACCTGTTGATTTTAATTACACAGAGATACCACTGGAAAAAGCTTAGTCACGACTGAGTCATTTAGGATTCCTAGTTGTTCTCACCTTTTTACCTTTAAATTTTTATGAAAAAATATTTAGTTTTTATGTCTTTTTGCTATTCATGTTGATAATAACCTAGGTGACACAAAATTGTCACCATGAGCATTTCAGCTGACGGCTGGTGTGACAGAAAATACTTGCCACGAGTGCACAATGCTCTCGAAGGGTGATTAGACTCATTTTGTGTTTAGAAGGGTTTTGCATTTGCCATCAAAAACCAGTGTAAAATGTAATGGCTCATAGGGAGGGCACCATTTTCATGCTCAACATCTTATTCCTGGTTGTGATCAGTGGCACAAGTTGTTTACAGAAAATTGAATACTACAAAATAATTTTAGATGATACAAATAACAAAATGATGAATATTAGAATGGAAAATTATAAAAAAAAGCTAAACACTTGTGCATTATAAAGAGAAAATAACATTGCAAAGGGGAGGTATAGATTCTTGTCACAGCACATGAATGTTAGCATGTGCCTGGACTACAAACTGCATACCATCAAGCAGCCGCTCACATAAGTATAATGCCCATATTTTGGCCCATGTGATTGCCTTGAAGCAACCAGATCCAATGAGTAATATTAGAAAAATCAAACTTTCTTAAAAATTCTACAATCATTAATATATGTTAGGTCATGCAGACTTACTAATTGACTCTTGGTGATTAAGCACTTGGGGAACCATAAACAAAATTCAGATAATGAAACTAAATCGTTATTACCAGCAGTAGTGAGTTTAACATAATTTTAGAGCTGTGATGTTAATTTTCTTTTTTTCCCTCTCTTGTGCTGATTATTGATATTCTCTAGGTACCAAAACGGAATTCTCCAATATGTTTGAAAGACCTATCCAGAATGGTTCAGTGTGTTGACTCTACACCACGAGATATATAACTGATGAGATACGATCCATTGTACTACATTCCTTGTTAGAAGGTTTGTACAAAGGTAAGTGTACTTTCAAAGAAAAACTATTTCAAGATTTTTGAAACACTACAGTTAATTTTCTAATAATAAATGAAGTTTGATTTACTATGAATAGTGTAGACCTTTTCTATGTTCACACTAGGTTTTCAAAAAAAATTGGAAATCTGCTGCAGTTTCATCTTTCTTAATTAGGTTATTTTTCTTCATTCTATTATTGAATATGTTTGACAGTAGTTAACCTTCAGTGATGGGTATGGCTATAGCATCATGATGTATCTGGGTATTACGTCATAAGGCATCATGCTTCACTCTGCAAACAAGCGGGCTGACTGTTATCAGCACAAACTCAGCCAGAAAGCTTTATCTTTTGTGTAATTTTACATTACAGAAAATTATGGCCCTGATATAATAGGGTTAAATGTAGTAGTCAAATTTACAAGTAAACATACATTTAGAAAGCTATATTCAGGTGCAGTAAAATAAGGAAATGCTTGTTTTTCTCCTTCTTCCAGGCGTGGACATACTGTCCTTGCAAATACATTGCCCAAAAAAGAAGAACATGTACTTCTGTGTAGAATGACGGAAATTCAGCGTAAGCTCTACTCAACATTCATGCAGAGTTATCTGCATCAAAAGCGATGGCCAACCCCCTAAAAGCCTTTGCAATATGTTGTAAAGTAAGTTTTGTTACCCTTATTTGGGGTTGATAGTATGATATGCAAATCCATTTTGATTTTTATTTAAAGAGATGTACTGACACTGCTTGTTTTTTTCAGATTTGGAACCATCCAGATGTATTGTACAATTTTGTTCAGAAGAAGATTAATGAAGATTTTGACCTAGACTTAGATGAAGTTGAAGGAAAATCAAGTCTCGACGCACATCTTCCATTAACACACCTAATACGTCTTTGCTAAACTACCATCCCATCCAGTTCCAAGTTGGGTGCACAAAGTGGGCAGATGGGGCGTGGAATGTAATGCCACAGCACCATCCAGCTTCTGTATTAGGAATGGGTCCCACCTGGTATGAATCAACAACCTGGGATGGGACCACAGATGGGAATGGGTCAGCATGGGCCAATGGGTCTGCAACAAGGTGGAAATGGGCTTTCAAGATCCAATGGGTCCACCAGGAATGATGCACCATCAGATGAGTCAGCTCAGAGATAGCCAAGGTGCACTTGGTAATTATGGTATGGGTAACCACAATATACATCAGGGATATGGCATGCAAATGCCATATCCTTGGTACAACCAGGGCTATGGTGCTAATGATCCAAATAGAGGGCATTATCCTCCTTATAAAATCCCTTATGCCCCACAGTATCCTCAGCACAACACGCCAGTTAGTCAGTCAGTACCTGGATATCCTGGTTCTCTCAACATGCACAATTCATCAATGGGCATGTCACTTAACAATACTGGACAACCCATGGGTCATCCAAACCCTCCAGGGCAGTCAATGGGCATTTCTAATAATTCTGGACAGCCATTAAATCTTCAGAATTCAACAGGACAGTCCATGGGTATCCCAAACCCTTCTGGACAGTCTATGGGTTTGCCAAATCATTCAGGACAGTCTATGGGACTCTCAAACCATTCAGGACAGTCTATAGGATCTCATAATCCTGCTGAACAGTCAATGGGAATGCCAAACTCTTCTGTGCAGTCTTTGGGCCTACCCAATCAACCAGGACAGTCAATGGGAACAGAACAGCCTATGGGACTTAATGCAACAGGACAATCAATGGGAACCTCAAATCAACCTGGACAGTCCATGGGAGTTTCCAATTCCTCAGGCCAAGCTATGTAGCTCCAAATAACTCGGGACAACCAATGGGGGCTCCAAATAATTCTGGACAGTCTATGGGAGCTCCCAACCCAAACAGACAGTCATTGGTGTACCAAATCCTCCAGTACAGCCTACCAATCAACCTGGTAATGGTCAGCTTGGAAGTCAATCCACTCCTTATCCCAATGGACCAAGCAGTCAGTCCTTGGCAAATGAACCTAGCCCAGCCACTCCTGCCACTCCTGCTACTCCTGCAACTCCAGCAACACCTGCCCCAGCCACTCCAACACCAAGTTCTGAGGAAAAGCCAAAACCTGAATCTGAAGAAGCTGATCAGGTGCTTATCAAAAAAGAGGAAATCAAAGAAGAAGAAGAGGAAAATACTGAAGAGAAAAAGAAGAGAAAAAGGAAGAACTAAAAAAGAAGAAATGACTCTTGACTGGGCTGAAGGCCTATTTAAGGAGTATAGTCCTGGGTTATTAACAACATCTGCTAAATTCCAAGTATTCTTCCAGATCTTGGAAGCATGTACCAGAATAGGAGACCGCCTCCTTGTGTTTTCCCAGTCTTTGTTTACACTCTCTCTCCTGGAAGAATTCCTACAAAGATCTTATATTCCAGGAACTTATGAGGGATGGCTCAGAAACAGATCTTATTTTAGATTAGATGGCAGTACATCAGCTCAGGATAGAGAAAAGTTGATTAATGAATTTAACATTCCTAATGTTAGGCTGTTTCTTGTGTCAACAAGAGCTGGTAGTTTAGGCATTAATTTGGTAGGCGCAAACAGGGTTGTAGTGTTTGATGCTTCATTTAACCCTTGTCATGACACTCAAGCCGTGTGTCGAGTCTACAGATACGGCCAAAAGAAGGAGTGCCATATTTATCGCCCTGGTCACTGATAACTCACTTGAGAAGCGTATTTATGATAGACAAGTGAATAAACAAGGCATAGCTGATCGTATTGTAGATGAAATGAACCCAGATGCCCATTTGTCATCTAAGAGATTAGCAACCTTCTTGTTGAAAATGAAAGTGACCCAGACCCTGAGGATTTTAGTGACAAATCTGAGAAGTACAAAGACATAATTTTGCAGGAGATAATACTCAAGCATGGAGAACTGTTGACCAAATGCCCATTTAAACATGAAAGCTTGCTGGTTGATCGGAAAGATAAAAAATTGTCGGGCAGAAAAGCGTTTAGCAAAGAGATCATATGAATTGGAAAAGCAGGCAAATATCAGTTACAGTAGACCATCATATGCTGCATTCTATCCCAAGAATCAGCAAGGACAACAAGTAATCATGGGAACCAAAATTGGGTAAGAATCTGTTTCTTTGTTTTGTTGTATACAATTAAGAAAAAGGCATTAGGAAAGTAAGAATAAAAGTTTGTTCCAATTTTTTTACACATTTAACTTAAAGTTCTCTAGCCCACTAACCACTGGATCTACTGGTACCATACAGAACTATTTGCTGTGCTTCATGCACAGTCAGGAAACATATACCTGCTCTATATACTCTTGGATGGGGGCATATATGAGAGTTTAAGAAGGAAAGCAAAAAAAAGAGATGATCCTATTTTCTAGAGGCTGTTTTTTCAGTGACAGCAGTTAAGGTCAAACATATTCACAGCTGTTTGAGATGCACAACTAATAGCAGACTCAACTGTTCATTTCCTCAGCATAAGTGATTTTTTGCAATGGTGTAATGGGGCATCATCCATAATCAGTGGGCTAGATTGATAATGATAATTCATTTAGCATATATGAGGTTCATGCATATGATTACATAATTTTCCAGAGGTGTGGTTTATGCAAAGCCAGTTGTACTGTTAGACCATTGCAAGCTGAAATGGGTCAGCGTTTAGAAGGTGGAAGCTTAATTCATCGCCCAAATATTCTGTCTCGTGGAGGACAGCCAAACTTCCCTGTTGAAGCATTAGCTAAGCAGGGAGTATCTGTACAGCAGATTACTGTGCCGAAAGGTAAGATAGTTTAGGTACAAGTGGA